AAGAAATTCCTTAAAGAAAGTGTAAGATTTAAGAAAACACTAGGTAATCATAATTTGAAAGGCAGAAATGGGAGGATCATGGAGGCCAGGCCAGGCAAAACATCTGTGTTTTTACAAACAAGGCAAGTACTGTAGTGAGGCAGACACTGACAATCTTAGCTACACAAGAGGTGAAGGTAGAGGAATCACTGAGATAACCTAGGTCAAAAACTCAAGACCCTGTAGGAAAAATAAACAGAGCACTTGCTCAGCAATCAAAAGGCCTGAGTACAAACACCAGAATCATCTCCCCAAAAAGGTTTTAAAAACCATTTACAATCAACATTTTTAAGTCTAGGAAGAAAGTAATTTCTTTTCTTCTATTACGCAATTAGACCCTTCAACCCCGAGGTAGAACATGGGCTTCAAAGGATTACCAAGGAGTCAAGCAAAGTGGTATAAAGCAGGAAGCCTGAGGCAAAAAGACCGAAAGTTCAAGGACAGGCTGGATGTCTGTCTCAAAAAAGGAGAAGGAAAAGATGGAAAAGAAAGAAGGAAGGAAGGAAGGCAAGGAGGGAGGGAACCTTACCAAAGTATAAAAACGTTCAAAACAATTCCCACCTAGATACAACCCCTGCTTTCACTATATATGATGTTGGTATATGTGGAGGGGAAGGGAAAAAACAAATTGTTAAACCAGGGATACAGGAGGACCCATTGCAACAATGAGATGTACAAGTCCTTATGTCCAAAAACGAACTTTACAACTTTGGTGGGGGGGGGGGGGGGAGGAACAATAGGAAGGGATGGGAAGGGGAAACAAAGCAGGAGGCTACAATGCTTGATAAGAAATGTGCTCATTATCTTACCCAGGTAATTGTAACCCCTCTGTTTTCACAATAAAAATATATTTAAAAAAAAAATTCCCACCTAGAACTGAAGCATAGTCTCATTTTCTTATCCACTGATAGGCAACAGTCTAAAAGATACCCTGATTTTTACTAGACAAAAAAACAAATATAAAAAAATCATTTGTGCTGCTAAAAACTCGGGAATGAGTTGAGCAATCATTGTAGGGTAAAGCATGTGTTGTAGTAGATACTACCCAAATCAAAAGAAAACAAAACTGGAATACAAATTTCAGTAGTTCTGATACTAAAATAACTTGTATTTCATACTATAACACAAGTAACATTTACCACCAGGAATACTATTTCAACATTTCTTCAATTTAAACTACTATGAAATCTCAGAATCTTTGTTAAAGCCTTGTTTAAAAAAAATCTCATTTGACCTTATCCTATAAAAAAGACTTTATCAGACTTACATTGGTCCTTTAGCATAAGTATCACAACTATAACCTAGGATGCTATCACTCCAAATTGGCTATTTTAAAAAGTTCTTTGAGTACTATACAGTGAACAATAGGAAACTAGAACCAAGGGTCATATCTATATAAGAAGGTCGCATATAAACTCTAGTCAACAATTAAAAAAAAAAAAAAAAAAAAAAAAAGCCCATCAGTAAGGAGCCAGTGATTCACAGCTGTAAAATCCTAACTACTGGGGAGGCTGAGATCTGAGGATCCAGATTCAAAGCCAGACTGGGCAACAAATTCCAGAGACTGTAATCTCCAAATAACCAGTAAAAAACTGAAAGGAGAAATAGGATTCATGTTCCAGGAGCACCAGCCTTGAGAAGAAAAAGCCAAGCAAAAGTGTGAAGCCTGAGTTCAAGCCCTACATGCTTGTGGTACACACACACAAACTGCATTATTAGATAATTAGAAACAGTAGTTCAGAATGAATTAATATTTTGTGAATTTATGTCAACTTCAGAAAATGAAGATTATGTTCTGAGGTTGGGATGATTCCAATTAATACTGTTGTTCTACAATTCTGCTAGAAAGAATACGGTACCTATTATTGTAATAAAAATAAAGCCAAGAGTGGGGAGGAAAAGTGGGAGAAAATGAAAGAGGAGGTAGGTAACATTGTTCAAAAAGAAATGTACTCATGTACATAATGTACATGTACTTATGTACTTATATAATTGCAATCCCTCTGTACATCACCTTTACAATAAAATTTAACTTTATAAAACAAAGTCAAAATTATTTTAAATATAGCTTAATATTATTGCTACAGTCATTAAAAATGTTTCATTTCATGTTATAGAACTGTAAACTCATTTGTAAATAGAAGTAAAGGAATTAGTTATTATTAGTCCTTCTATCATTTGCTTGGCTAGCTTAGTCTCATATCCTTCAAATCCTGCTTTAAAAAACTTTATCAAGAAAGACTTTCTAACTAATCCAAACCCAAAATAACAGCCCTATGACACACTCCAAAGAAAACAATAAAATGTGTTTTCCTATCACTCAAAGTTACAAGTTTTGTGGAGTTCTTATTGTTGTTCTTTAAGCCTCCTTACTACACTATAAACTCCATGAAGTTAAGAAGCATCTGCCACTCAAAAGTTATATCAGTATTTAACACATGATTTATAAGCAGTAAGAAATTTGTGGAACTACACTGAAAATTTTAAACCTTTCATCCAAGAATTTTACCAATTTCCTGTCTTCAATCCAGTTATTCCATGACACTTCAATGACTAGTATAACCAACTAACAGTTAACTAAAAATTAAACTACTCATCCTGCACATGATGTAAACAAACTTTCACAAGACTTTATATTATGCACACAAACACGAAAGTGGGATAAACTGTTCTGTTTCTGTATCATGGAGAATTTTATAATTGTCTCTCTCCAATAACTGAACAATTTTTTTTCTAAAAAGGCAGGTCTCAAAACTACAACATAACTATAGTTTTACTGTTTGCATTCTAGCTCATCTGGGTACACATGGAGCTCTAGATGAGAATTAAAAGTAACGTAGCAAATAGAAGATGTGGTTTAGAAGACAAGACCTATTTTATGTATGACTTATCCTAAACAAATATATTAATACAGAAATATAACTTAGTTACACTTGTTAGTGATCATTTATAAAGAAATATGATAAAGAATGACAAGATATGTGAAGCAATATAGGAAACAGTATGCAAAAGTTCGTAACTTTGGTTGATTTACAAAATTAGGACTTGTTTTTCATGTAGCCTAAAAGAAAAAGAAGCTGGGTGTGGTTACCCCCACTTGTGGTTTCAGCATTAGGGAGGCTGAGGTAGAAAGATCTAAAGTTTGAAGGCCAGCCTGGCCTGCATGAGACTCTCTCTCTCAAAAAAAAAAAAAAAAAAAGACACCCAAAACCCCTGAATGAATGAATATCAGTATATCAGTTAAGGTTCTGACTCTATTCATTACATTCCTAACAATGGCGCCTGTATATCAAGAAGGGACCCAGTGACCTAATAATGACTTCCTGTTTTATACATTAATGGATTTCAAACAGTATTTGCTAACAAGATGAAGTGTATTATCACAATATAACACATGTGTAAGGAAAAATACAATTCCTGAAACTTTTGATTTGGTTTTATATATATATGACACTGTAAAATATATCTCTAGCACGATCTACAGTAAGAAATATGTGAAAGCAATTCTTGTACATAAGCTTGTCAATTACTTATCCCCCCCCAAAAAAAAATTCCTCACAAAAATGCAAAGTGACCTTAACCTAGGAATAAATTACCAAAGTTTAAGCTTGATTTCACAAGTTCTAAACTCAAACTGCCTGAATCCACAATAAATCCACTACTTTTTGAGCGACTCCAGACTTATCTAAACAATATGTGTCTCACATTTTCTTCTGTAAAATGAGGAAGGCAGTATCTTCTGATTTGGAATAAAAACTAAGTAGTACATAAAGTTCTGTCACTTACATTGAGTGACAAGAAACCTGACAGAGGGCATCTGGATCCACAGTATGTATTTGTAAGGGGGGGGGGGTACTTTTATTTTGTATCTTTCAGTCCTATTTTAACTTTATAATATATAACATAAGTACACACATGTAATGTTTCTAGTATTGATATTACCTTTAATTTCAATAGGACATAATTGAACAATGAGATTACAGTGCTTTTAGTCTGTATCTCTCTATTTTGTTAATTTTCAAATGGTTGTACCAGGGGTTACAATTTCACATATTCATTTAGGTCCCCCGGCGAATCTTGATCAGTGTCACTCCTTTCATCATTCTGTTCCCTACCTATCCCTTCCCTCCCCAAGTCATTCTATAATATAAACATATATAAGTTGTTTCTGAAAGTCAGTTATCTACTTGCTTTAAATATATATATAAAGACAAAGACAAATGTGGGGTACAGAGCTTAGACATTCACACGTTGTTTCTGAATAATACATGTGCCAGAAACTTGGAACTTACTCTATCATCTCACGCCCAGGAGAAAACTAAGGAACTGAGTTGTGAATAAACTACAACAGCAGTGTCCACAACTTCGAAGCCTGTTTTCTTTCCCTTAGGGAAATGCATCCAAAAATTCTTTTCCCAGTTGTTTCATAAAGGCTCACTTTGGTCTCTCCAGCTAGAATGTCAACTTGTTTCTTCCACTCCACATACGACTTCTAGTGTGTTATTAATATTAAAGCTACGGGTAAGGACTTAAACACTTGTTGCATTGCATTAAACTTATTTTGGGCAATCGCCAAGGGACGTTAACTTTGTGGAAACTAGCACACAAACGACCCAACGGGCGCTACCCAAATCTAAGGGGTTGGCTCCACACGCACAAGTGAGAAAGTTGATCCCTATCCAGAGACCACCCGTGCCACAGGGAGTTTTTAAGTAAGTTATCATTTTGCAAAACACTGAAGAATGGATTCGCACGCACATCCCCCCCGCCCCACTTTCCACGCCCCCACCACCCCGCGCGAACTGAAGAAAGTAGCCTCTGGTCTTCCGACGAGGTGTTAAAGAGCCATAGCCACGCCCCCATTTTGTCCCATCATAATAACTACTTTTCTTCATCCGACCACTCGGTTCCCCCCCCCAACATCCCCCCCCCAGACTCTTAATAAACCGTTCGTCTCTGACCTGCCGCGAAGTGCAAGGGAGAAGACTTCCGGCCAGCCATGTCCTTAGCGTTCACGTTCGCGGCGTCCACCAGCCTCTTCACCCGGGACACGTCCCCATTGCGACAGGCCTCCAGCAGTTCCCGAAGCGCCCCGCTCACCGCCGGGACCCCCGTCCCGGGCCCCGCGGCCCCAGGCCCCAAAGTTGTTGTGGTGCTCACTCCAGCCGCCTCGGGGCTTTCGGCCAAACTCGATCCAGGGGACGACGGAGAGGAAGACGAGGAAGAAGTCGGAGAAGAGGAAGAGGATGGTGAATTGTTGCTGCCACCGCCGGCTGGGTTAGGAGCGACCCCGACGGCAGATGAGACGGAAGCCACCGGGACCCCGGGGACGGCGGAGACCGTACACACAGTGCTGCTGGTGCTGCTGCAACAGCTGGTGCTGTCAACCGGGTCCGGGGATCGGGGCCTGTCGGGAGGCTCCCGACTGCCATCCCCCTCCGGCAGCGCTAGGCCGTGCCGCGGGGAAGCGAAGGGGACCAGGCCACCAGCCGTCGGCGAGGCCGGGGTGGTCCCCGGGGCCAGGCCGGGGCTGAGAGGTGGGGGAGGTGGCGGCGGCGGCGCCGAAGCCCCTGGGGCGGGCTGGAGCTGTTGCTGATGATGGTGGTGATGATGCTGAGAGCGACGCGACGCCGCCATCTTCGGACTCCCCCAGCACTGTCACTGCGGCAACGGCCCCACCACCCGCCCTCACTTCCGACGCCTGGGCCAATCAGCATCCGACACACGGGAAATGATACTGGCGGAGTGGGCGGGGTTAAAGTGAAGGAGGGAAGTATTGGGAGCTCCGAGAGCAGCGAGCGGAGGGGGCGTGGCTTTGTGATTGAGGGGCGGGATCTGTGACAGCCTGGCGGGCCCGCGGGAGAGGTTTGAATGCTGGAACCGGCCTCCGCCTCAAGTGGAAACTTCCTGGATTTCTTACTTGCCATCTACTTGCCTTTCCCTGCTGCCTTTCTGTTCCTGAGTCTCCTGTCTTCCCTCCCTTGATCCAAAGCTAGCTGTGGATGTGTAACACAGGTCAAGCATCTGTCAAGTCCTGGTCTGAAAACTGGAAACAGTACCCACCTCTAATCATTGTGATTTAGCTAGATTAAAGTGACTAACAAACCGACCTGTCAGTCCTAATCGTTACAATGAAGCCATCTTCCCCGGCCCCAGGTATTTCTCCAGTCTCTTGTTCCTGTAAGTTTTCTCACTCTCTATATATTTTGTTTAACCCCCTTTTAAAAATATTGTTAGAATTGAAATTCAGATTCAACCGTTTTCTAACTAGGTAAAATTCCAAGAAGCTATTTAGCCAGCTACTGCTGGGTCTCACTTTCCCCTCTGTAATATCGAAGTAACAATAGTTTAATAAATGTTAATTATTACTTGAGCTACAGCTCCATTTCCAGCTTTTTTTTTTTTTTTTTTTTTTAAATCTATTGGATAAGAGTATCGCCACTTTGGTGCCTGGGTTTTTTCCCCTAATTTGTTATCTCTATTTTATTTCTCATCCTAAATTTAGCTCGACTAATTATGAACATGGTCTCTTTCAAAAAAATTTAACTAAGTCTCTCTTCCTCCTCCATTCTTCTCACTCAACCTTCCTCTTCACTTCCAAACTGAGATTAAAAACCTCACTGTGGGGGCTGGGAAGGTGGCTCAGTGGTAGAGCGCTTGCCTTGCATGCATTGAGGCCCTGGGTTCCATTCCTCAGCACCACATAAGCAAAAAGAAAAAAAGCCAGAAGTGGCGCTGTGGCTCAAGTGGTAGAGCACTAGCCTTGAGCTGAAGAGCTGAGGGACAGCGCCCAGGCCCAGAGTTCAGGCCCCACGACTGGACCAAAAAAATAAAAAAAAAAAAAAAAAAACCTCACTGTGGTCTACCATTCCCCTTCAGATGACAGACTAAGCAGCTGATTTTTCTTTCCCCTATCTGTAGTTGCAATTTTTGTTTGATTGTTTGATGTTTTGTATCTGCCATCAAAGGAGATATATTCATGAATGATATAAACTCTGCGGTATCTATACCTACTGTAGGCATCCTAGAAGTATATATAAGCAACATTATTCCAAAAGAGTGGACACAGATGGAAATTCTATGTCCTAAGAATAAACATTTAGATGGATAAAGCAGACTGTTACATTAAAGGATAATTGTGGCTTTATGTGTTCATTAAATATACTCATGAAATCAGGAACATAATTGATGAATAGACATTAAATTTTCATCAAATATAATGATGGATTATAACTAACTTCATCCTTCCTGTTACTCATTTGTACTATTGGCCAAAAAAAAAAAAAAAAATTGGCTGGATAAGAAAAGTATACCATCAAACTAAAACCAAACCAGAGCACAAATTCCTGGCTTTGACTCTTGTTTTCCTTGCACAAATGGTATTTTATTACCTAAGTCTTTATTTTGAATTTAAGTTTTTTTATTTCTGTACTTCACTGTTGTACTATGACAACAAAATGACACCTGTGTATCCAAGCATTCATATCAACAGTAAGATGTAATTTATCATTCTACCACTGCTATAGTATTAAACTTCTTGTAAAAGACATTGGCATATAAGGGTCACCAAATGAATTTCTACACTTTACCCTTAGATAATCTTAATTTCCATCAGTAATACTTTATTAACCTAATTGTTAATAGACTTATAAATTATTGGAATGATGGGATGTGTACAGAAGAAATCATTCAACTGAGTTACACTCTAATAATTTCTATAGTAATCTCACACTTACCAGTAAGGAATTGTCACCATATTTAAGGGCTAATTATTGCTGTAAGTTACAAAATAATAAAGTTCTTTTCAAAATAATAGCTCACTTATATGTGAAAACTGTCCTTTCCACTTATACAGAAGAAAAATATATTCAGGAACCTCTTTTTGGTCTTGTTATGTCAACTGTACAAAAATGTATATATTAAAACTAAGATTTTAAGTCTATTAAAAACAAAAATGTCCTACTTTATTTTTGCATTCCTAGGATTTGAACTCAAGAGTCTCATATTTGCTGGTAGGTATTCTACCACTAAACCATACCTCCAGCTCTTTTTGTATACTGCTTGCTTTGAGATATGATCTCACTTTTTGCCCTATCATGTGCCTGGACTGCCATACCAACACATCTAGCTTATTCCATTGAATCTTACAAATTCTTTTGCCTTGGCTAGCTTGGTCCTTGCTAGCCTGGAACCTTCATCCTCCCAATCTCAGTTTACTACGTAGCTGAGATGTCAAGCTAATGCCACTCTGTCCAGCTGCAAGTTGAGTAAGATGCTTAAGAGTTTTTTGCTTGGGCTAAACTCAAATTATGGTCCACCCAATTTCAGCTTCATTAATAGCTAGGTTTTCAGGCGTGAGCCCCTAGTAGTTCTGAGGATTGAATTAAGAGCCTCATACTGGCCAGGCAAATGATTACCACTTCAGCCACAGCTAAAGACCTGGGTGCTATCCCTGTGCTCTTTTGTTTAAGGCTAATGCTCTACCATTTGAACCAGAGCTCTACTTCTGGAGTGTCTCTCTCTCTCTCTCTCTCTGTGTGTGTGTGTGTGTGTGTGTGTGTGTGTGTGTGTGTGTGTGTGTGTGCGTGGTTGTATGATATTTGGAAATAAGAGTCTCATAGACTTTCCTCCCTGATCGAATGGCTTCAAATTATGATCCTCAGATATTAGCCTCCTGAGTAGCTACGATCACATGCTTGAGCCACTGGTGCCTGGCTCATTGGTTATTTTTTAGATAGAGTCATACTTTATGCCCAGGACATCCTGGACTGCAATCCTTCTACTTGTGCTTTCCCATGTCACTGGGGATGACAGGTACGTGCCATTGCACCCAGCCATTGGGCTTCCTCTGTAGCTTAGATAACAGAAATGCACAATCTCATCCAACCATTGGTTGAGAAGGAGTCTCATGAAATTCTATGCCTGGACTGATCTTCAACAATGATTCCTGGATCTCTTCTTCAAAGTAGCTTACTGCCAAGCTATGCATTTTTATAATTAATTATGCAAATACTTTAAAACTCTTGCACTAGTGATCTGAATAAAGAGTTGATAATATATAGTTGATAATATATATATATATGAACTATTGCACTAACGTATAGTATAGATTAGCTTTTATTTATTTATTTTATTCCGGTCGTGGGGCTTGAACTCTGGGCCTGGGCGCTGTCCCTCAGCTCTTCAGCTCAAGGCTAGCACTCTACCACTTGAGCCACAGCACCACTTCCGGCTTTTTTTTTTTTTTTTTTTTTTGCTTATGTGGTGCTGAGGAATCGAACCCACGGCCTCAGGCATGCAAGGCAAGCGCTCTACCACTGAGCCACCTTCCCAGCCCTAGATTAGCTTTTTATACTACTAATACAAAAAACTAGAAATCTCTCTTGACCATCTTTTTATAGATCACACTAGAGGGACAAATACCAAAAGAGCTTATAGGAGCACTTGGTTTTAAGCAAATGGCAGGGTAATTGTGTTGTAATCCTTCACATACAGAGTAAAAAAAGTAAAAAATATGTACTACTACAAAATACGAAGGGGGAAGTGATATCACTTATTGCACAATACAACTAATAACTAGTGTCAAAAAACAAAAATCTCTCAATAAACATTTCAAAATACACAAAGTAACTAAAGCTCAAAGCCTACCCAAAAATATGCTAAAGATTTAAGAAAATGCACTAGTTTAAAAAAAAAAAAAACAAGAAAATGGGAACAAGGACAACCAGTAAAACAAAATAATAGGGGAAGAAATTCAATCACTCTTCAGTATATACTATGTGGAAAATGAACTGTGTAACTTGTGGAGAGGAATGGGAGGATGAAACTGGGAGCAAAGGAAGAGGTGATAGTGTCCAAAAAAAAGGAATGTTCCAGTTGCCTCTCTGTATAATACCTTGAGAATCACAAAAAAGTTATATTTTAAGATATCCAAAAGACAACATACTCTTTGCCTGGCCTATTTTACTGTAAGTCTTTGATTTTAGCATTATCAAATAACATCAACAACAACAAGAGAATACTGGAACTACCATTTATCCTTTAGTCAGAACAGATATTTTTTATGGTGGTGTCTTTCCATTCACTTAATGCCTGGCAGTGTACATTAAGTTTTTAATATCATAGAAAAATGTGGTTCTTCCATGAAATTCTTTAAATTCTTCCTAAACTTTTCAAAGTAGATGTTTTTCTGGATGGAGACAATCAACAAACCATTACCTATTTTCAATACTGAAGATTTACAGAAACTTCCCAAAAGTTATATTTTGGGGGAGGGGTGGTTTGATAGACTTGGGAGGGTAGTAATGGACTTCATTACTACCCTTTCTTTGTTTCCTACTGTTGTGTATTGCAAAATGTTGGCTCACTTGAAGTAATGGATTCATGACTAGATCTTTCTATATCTGGCAGAAAGCAAGAAGTGTCAATACAAATTGACTCTGGATGCAGTGTAAATTATTGCTAATAATGTGAGGAATTATTTTTATCAAGGTATCAAAATGTCCAAGTTGGTCTGGGAAGGTGGCTCAGTGGTAGAGTGCTTGCCTTGCATGCCTAGGCCCTGGGTTCAATTCCTTAGCACCACATAAGCAAAAAGAAAAAAGCTGGAAGTAGCGCTGTGGCTCAAGTGGTAGAGCGCTAGCCTTGAGCTGAAGAGCTGAGGGACAGTGCCCAGGCCCAGAG